ATGTGTCCCTTGGTTTAGGAGCTGAAGGTGAGTCAGACCTACAGCAAGGGCACTTGGCCCAAAGGCTGGGGCAGTTGGAAGAAGACAAGACCTCATTTATGGTAGAGATGTGTATTTTTATATGTAACATATAGATTATTTAAATATAGACTTGTGTCTTAAACTGAGATTCACTGAAAAAAAGTGTGCTGTACCTTGAATGTAAAGTTACAAGCCTTTGCTATTGAAAAGTATTGATGCTTTAAAAATCAGATCTATATTGGTATCAGAAGAGCAGCTTCGTTTGAAAGAAGCATGGCCTGTTTCTGAAAGAAGGGTATCGATGTTTTTGAGAGGTTGTTTCATGCTAAAAACATCTCTGTTATAACGTTGCACTGTGATTTTTCTGCGCAGGTAGTACTTCACTCAGTCTTGAATATACTAAGCAACAAGCTGTCCCTATTTATGCAAACATTTGAGTTAGTGGAACTGCTTTTTTTGTCAGGGATTTCAAGATTAGGCAGTAAATAAACTCACTGTTTAAAAAAAAAAAAAAAAATCAGTCACTTGAACTGAAGGCTCGCTTTTTCTAATCAGATGTGTGATCTATTTTTTTAACTTAATTTTCCTTGCAGCTGCACTTTGTAGTCGATGACCTGTTTAGTAAAGGACGACGGCACGATCGCAGTAGTGCAGGGCGCGGTGGGTGGCCTAACAGAGCAGCTTTTCTCCCAAGTGCCGCGGCTCCTTCGCAGCCCCCGGCGGTTTGGGTGGGTCCGGGCGGATGAACCGGGGGTACTGCGGAGCGGTGTAACTGCAGGGTCCCGCAGGGGTGGACAGAGGCGGGGAGGTGGGAGCGCGCGCACTGGTGCTGAGCTGCGAAGCGGCTGGCGTGCTGCGAGTTCACGTCCCGCGTCATCCGCCGTAACGCCTTCACCTGCCTGCGCTTGTGCTCTGCGTGGGGAGCGTCTCGTTTAGCTCTCACCATGTTACGTGGTGGTCCGTATTATTATTTTTTTTTTTTTTAAACAATGATGTGGTACCAGTTTGTAATGGTTTTACTTTTAAGGAAACATACTTTTGCCTTCAAAAACGTCACCCCTGGGAGATGATCAGAAGTGCTCATAAGCACAGGTATAATGCAGGGATCGGTACAGCTGCAAATTGTTTTTGTAGGTTGCTGGGGAGGAGCTTAAAAGTACAGCACAAATCCGCGAGCTTGCTCTTTTTAGCTGTGTTTTGCAGCTGTGCTAGTGGTTGCACCGAGCACATGCAGTAGGCAAGTTGTATGTCATGGTTTTCTGCCTTCTTTCATAGCTTGGTTACAGAGGACAATTAAAGTGTGTATCTTGTTTTCTGTAATATTGCTGCCTGTTTATAACCGTGTATTTAAACTTTACTTTTGTCACTCT